TTAAGCTCTGTTTTAATCATTAGACGAATGCAAGCGCAAACCTGCTCACAGCTGAAAACTTCTGCTGTGACAAGGATAGCCACGTCCACAAATGATAGGTGGCGTTTGAAGCGGCCGTCATGCACATCAGAGCTTCCTTGTTTATGAGTATAGGGGAGCAGCAAGAGCCCTACAGCATAAGTTTAACAAACTTCTGTACAAAGAGGGCCTACAGAAAAACTGTAACTGCCAATACACTGACACCATCCTAAATGCATTTTCAATTATGGTATTTGTTTGTTTAGCATTAGAATTAGCAAGAGGCGCATAGCTGGCTGGGTTTTGAAAACTCTCGGGACAGAGTTGATGAACTTCAGGGAACAGCTCAGCAAATGTCTTAATAAGAGAAGCTGCAGGCCAAGAGAAAACGGACCAAGTCAGTCACTGCTGCACATCTGCGTCACCCTGTCAAACCCCGATCTTGATGGGGACAGTTTTGGCTTTAGAACAATATCTGGATGGAATGCCTGTCTGAGAGAGGATTTTACCTTGTACAGTACCCTGAACTCAAACTAAGTCATGACCCAGAGCCATAATAGCATGCATCGGAACACTTTCGAAAAATTTGTGTCACTGTATCAAGAATGTCAGCTCAAAGGCCAAAAGCAGCATGTCGTTAGCCAACAATCACGGTGTCATATTACGCCATACATAACAGGGTTTGCTTTAGGGTTAGGAGCAGGTAAGGGATCGTGTGGCATTGCTGAGACATCTTGAAACATCTCTGCACACCCCCATGATGTTGGCCATTGAGTGCCAACCCACCCTTCAGCCGCCAAGGACATGATTTTCACCAAACCCCTAAGATTGAGGGTACCGGCGATGGACTCCTCCATCTCTGAAGCTGCACCATGTTCCCGTGTATAACTCCACTAATTGGATTGAAGGCTTTTCGCCTGGATTAGTTTCCGATGTTGCGGTGAAAGTGAGTGGTAACGTCGCTGCCTTCTCCACCAAAGGTACATCTCGTGCTTTGGTGGAGGGCACCCCGTCGGCCTGCTTCAGCTGACTTACCGGCAGCAGAAACCAGTCCATCCTGTATCACTGACTGACCTTCAAACAAGCAAACCCAATGACTTCCTACACAAAAATACAAAAGCCAATTTCCATTGCTAAGCAATATTTGAAATGATACCATAGAACAGCTAACAAGATCCATTTACTGTCGTACTATTGCATCTGTCACCTGTTCTTTAAATATCTCACTACCTTCTACTCCGATCAGATTTACTGTAAAAATATATTCTGTCCTTTCCTGTTAATGCTCTCAATGACATAATACAGTGTCTTTTGTTGCATCCTAATGATGACACTTTCATCCATCCATCCATCCATACTTTCATCTACCCATCTGAGAACATAAGAAATTTACAAACGAGAGGAGGCCATTCAGCCCATCAAGCTCGTCTGGGGCGTCATTTTGTGGTTCACATACAGTAAACACCACTCTGAATGCATTTATCACGCCCTGCATAGCCAGTATGAGATTTGATCCCTTTAATACATGCCTGAGCCGGAGCATTACTTACTTATTACTTATAACTACTTATTGTGTGTGTGTGTGAGAGTTTCATTTGCACAAAAGGGAATTTTCTGAAGCCAGGACAGAATTCTGGAGATTTAAGAGATTCGTTGACCACTCCCGCTACACTTCTGCATGTCTTTTCAGAGTCGCATATTTCTGAAGGTGCTCAGAGGATTACAAAGCTGTAGCTGAAATGAAAAGGGGGGGGGCTGTCACAAAGGCCGATGGCAGCGCACGTTCACGGACAGGCCTGGACCCTGTGCAGAGGTGCTCTCAGTTGGCATCAGTGAGATGTCCTCCCCACTGAGAACACAGACAGAGAGTTTTGAAATTTGACTCATTAGAGGAAAGAGACAGAACCGGTCACATGGAGATAGAAATTGATCCAGTGAGCCGTTCACTGGGAGGCAGGTAAAACAAGCTTGCTGGATCACTGCTCGGGGGCCACATCCCAGCAAGGTTTTCGCTTGTTTTCTAAGCATTTCCTGGCTTCTCAAGTCATAATCAAGGTCACTGTAACTTCCTGAAAGCTGATCAGTGGTATTGTTAACCAGGAGTTAACATGACAACGAAAATCTTTCTGCACACATTCAAACCAAAATCGGGTGATGCTAGGACCATTTAACAATTTTAGACATGTACAACAAATACAACCTTAAAAATATTTAACACATTAATTCAGCAAAATACCATTAGCACAAAATGTTTCAAGACAAAGCCTGTCGTTTACAAGATTGTTGACACGTGCCAAATCCAAATGCGATAACATTACGGGCAGTAATGCTTACCTAACCAGCTACTTGCCCATTTTGAGTGACTTGACTTTCTAAACCTGTCACACATACATCGGTAGCTTGATTAGCAGCAACTTCTACCCAAAACATCTTTAGCAGAATGGATATGTGTACCAAACGTAGCAAAGAATGGGTATGTGTATCAAATGTACCAAAGAATGGGTATGTGTACCAAATGTACCAAAAGTTTATCATTAAATACCTTGGTGTATATGTAGTTCCAATTCTAATTACAAAGAATCAGTAGAAAACAAACCCTACAAAAACAAACACAAAATAAAAATCACTACTGTCAGGCAATTAAAATGTTATGAAACATTCAAAATGCATAAATACATGAATCTGAAACTGGTATATATTTTGAAACTATAAAGTTTTTCACATCGAGTCAATAAATCTTTCTCTGCTGTTTGATCTGCGCATGTGCTCTGTGTAGTCAAACAGCCATTACCTTAAAGGTTAGAGGTCACATTTTCAGGACAATAAGCTGACCTTCTCTATATGATGCAATAGAACAATCTAACCATATACTGTCGCATTAAAAATGCGCAAAACATTGACATTGATCCTTATATGAACTAATATGCGATGATTTTTCCGTATCTTCCAACTAATAAATAAAACAGCGTGTTCCATCATTCTTACTATCTTACAGACTTACCTGGAGGTTAGAAAAACAATCTGCAAACCTATCTGATCTAACACGGCTTTGGACACCTGGCAGACTTCCATTGCAGGAATTTCCTACAATTTCATTCATCAAAATAGGACACGATTTGCTCAGCTTAGCCTTGACAGACACTGGTGTTGGATTTTTGTTGTTGTATTAATCCTTCCAAGGAATATGGGAGCTTTGGAAAGACAACAACGAAAGCACGACTAATTTTAATATGAAATCACTGAGCTCGGAATGAGACTCCAGATTCTTAAAAACCAATTAACCGCAGAAATTACATGCTTGTCATGTCTGCAGCCAATCAATGCTCACTTCCGTCCAACAGCTCGACGATTTTTCAGGCGTTCTTCATTCTTTTTAAGCCAAGATAGACTGAAAGCGATGGACAATAGGGACTGAATCAAACTGCACTCTGACTGTGAGGGAAAGGTGATACATTTTTTCATATTAGTAATTTCGAGCTAGAGTGGTTTGACATTTAAGGATGATTAAAAACAACCATCATAATAAATTATCGCTAATTCATTTGAAAATGAGATCTGATATTACAGGCTTAGGCATTTATATCAAGGGACAAAGTCTTAATGCCTTCAAAAACTAAAACCATGTTTTCACAGTGATGGGCTTAGTGTGTCAAGAATGTTTGTGTTTTTTGGCCAAATTTGACATATTTTCCATTCCCCATGAAGTCCAAAATATTTTCAGTGAGAAGCTGCACACCATGTGTCCTTCATACTGACAGTGTTAAAGGAAATGACAGGTTAACTTGAAAGTCTGGATTATTGGCCTGCAGGCCCTCAACACAGATGGCTACGCTGAATGTTGTGGGGCTCATCGGCTCAGCAATTTCCATAAAATTATTGCATCTTGAGCCTCAATTAATAAACCAACTGGCACAAGGCTGATATTAATGCTCTGGACAAGTCAGCTTTGCCTGTGTCGACACAACATTGAATCCTTTAAATGAGGCCCCAACCGCTGAGATATTTAGTGCAAAAAGGTGCTGCTTTGTTCTCAAATTTAACAGTAGACATTCTGACCTCTAAGACCCTTCAGTGTTACTATATTCTACACCGCAGGCCCCTTGATAGAACAGCAGGGATATCCTGGGATTTGAACCAACAAAGTTCTGGTCTCAGGCTGTAATCTTGAACTACCACATCATCTGACATCCATTGCTTTGGCCTCACACCATGCCAGCTCATCACTGGAATGTTGGGTTCACCTGCCAATCGATCCATCTTCCAACTGCTTATCCTGGATAAAGTCATGGGGTTCCCTAGCCAATCCAATCAACCTATTTAGAGCAACTGTACAAGGTATTGAGACCAGGTTGTGAAGATGTTACCAACATCCTCACAACATCTACTCAAAGCCAGTTAAGAAGTCACTGGGAGCAGCAACAGAAATCGCCGTCTATAAACATTTGTCATATTCAACACAACAAAGCTTATAAAAATGTATTTGCATTTTATGGAAAACATAGTGCTGTGGATAAATAGGTCACCACATCTTCCCTGTCTTACTGTCTTACCTCTCTGACATCAGCAGCTATCTGTTCTGCCATTGGCACACATTTTACACGAGCGTTTACTCAAAGTAGTTGCTATGAGTTTCACCTTAGTAACCGCCACACAAGGCTGAATCACTGTTCTTCGTGTCATGCATCTGTTGCATAGCAACATATTATAGACCCTATTTTTATGCTGTCCAAGTACAGACCATACCCCAGGGTGTCAAACCCTAGGGTCTGTATGGTCTGGCCTATAGTGATGTTCTGATACAATGTCACATCCATCCATCCATCTTATCAGGGTGGTGGGGAATCCGGGGTCTATCTCGGAGGCTACAGGCGCAAGGCGGGGAACAACCCAGGATGGGGCGCCAACCCATCTCAACAGTCCCTGAATGAAGTACATGAAATGTGTGCGGCACTGTCAGGAGGCGAGAGTGACAGGTAACTCACCTTCGGTTGGGCTTCCACTTCCACCACCTGGTTCCTGCTAATCAAGCTTTTCACCAAAACCTCTACTGTAGAATTAAACTTCATGAAAATCACATAGCTTGCGTAGGCTGACAGCAGTGCCAGACTTTCCCAATAGCTGATGTAGTTATCCAGGAAGAAAATGATGAGCATGATCAGGTCCAGGATGTAGAAGGACACATCACGGAAGAGTGGCCACCAGGTGAGGTTCAGGATTTCCTTGGAAAACAGTGCGCACATCCCAATCACAAACAGGATGTTGAACACTGCCGAGCCCACAATTGTCCCAATGCCCACGTTGCTGTGGGAGATAAAGACCCCAATCACAGAGGTGAAAAGTTCTGGGGCAGAGCCACCAGCGGCCATAAAGGTGGCACCAGCCACGTCGTCGGAAATGGTAAACTTCTCGGTGATAACCGTCAGGGCGGGAACGAAGAACTCGTCGCAAACGATAGCCAGAGAGATGAACATGTACAGCATCCCGAACATGTGTAAGATGACTGCCCCTTGCCTCCTCTGCTCCAGGCTGAAGAGGTCTTGTGGGTAGTCGCCCTGGCTGTGGTTACCCGACGATGCCCTCAGAGTGTCCGCAGAAACGTTCTGGGCATGCTGTTGCTTGGCAGTCAGTAGAGTTCGATGTGGCACCGGTCCGGACAGGCCGCTTGGCGAGAAAGGAGCCTCCACCCTGTAGCCCGGACTCCACGTCAAGGCACCGAATGAGCAGGAAACTGCACTTACTGCTACGAGGCTCAAGACAAACCCCAGCACCCTCACCGGCCTCAGCTTCTTCCGGAGATACTGGCGACAGTGACTGGTGCATCCCATCTCCAGGACAGGGTCACTCGGTGTCACTTTGGGGGGTCTCGGACCCATGGCCGCGTGTCGTCGTTTTTAGTAGTCAGGTGGAAGGTTTCCAGACTGGGTTTTATCCAAAGCGCCGCATAGTGCTGCCTGCAAATTTAAAGAAAGACGGGCGATCCCAGGTGCGTTCCAGGGTCTAACGCACCGAAAAGCTTCTTCATAACAGCCTCTGGAGAAACATCAAAGGATGATAGGAGAAGTGGTGTGAAATCTTGTAACCTGGCGGCTGAAAGAGCCAGTTGTACAATTTGTCTATTCACACTACAACTGAAACGTATAACACACACAGAGTGTTCTAAACACTTTGCCCCATTCACCGTATTGGTGAATTCTGCTCTGTTTCAAGCAATCCACACCTTGTGACTTCAAGCTTCAAGGTCCTGTTACCATGCATTTCAACACGAGTAATATGGTTGTTCATTTAGGCAGCGTATATACCTTTTGAATCGGACCATCTCCAGAAATATCTATCCAATCCAATCTAATATTGAAAGGCTGATTAAGACTGAATTTAATAGACTTGATTGGAGAGACCACCCAATATTAATGGTATTAACAGAGAAATACTTAGGCAACACACAGTGGTACGTGCAGTTAGGGTAGAGGTGTCATAAATGGGTGGAAAGTTAGGACAATTCTAAGGGCCCCTCTTATTCAGGGGCCCTAAACAATGTGGGGCCCAATAAATACACTTTTCACTATGGCACCACAGTGTTAGGGTGATTATTTAATATATTATTTATGCTATAATTTAATATGTTATTTATGGTATTGAAAAACAACATAAAACTTCTTGATAATAAAGTAATACGTACGCACTCCATTCCTTTTTAAATACTGACGCGAAGGGGGAAACATGTAGTATATAAGTACGGTATTTGGGGAACATGGATTTCCTTACATTGTGTATAGTCAGCCTAAAATATCCTCACATAGTTCCTTTTAAAGACCGTTGTTACTATAAAGATGCGATTTAAATGACATTTCTGATTTATCTTAACGCACTTCTGCGCCGCGTTCAGTCCATAATTAGATAAGATCAGCTTAATTAAAATAGAGCAGTTGTACTTTCGATGTAATAAGTAACGGGCTCCACAGAAAGAGTCGCGAAACGGCTTCCAGAGACTTTTCCTCCCCCTGAAATTTATTTTTGGGAGGGTTAATTTTGTGAAACGAACAAATCAGACACAGAAAATGAGCTTATTCATTTCCTTCAGCCTCGCGCCATGTGATGCGCGCGGCTATTAACCCACTTAATACTTTTCGCGAAATAACAGCAAATAAATAAACAAACAAATACATCCACTTCCACAGCTATGTGCATTGAACCAAATGTCATTTACGCGTATGCTAAAGCGATAACGTGTTAAGAATGGAAAACACGTGAATAAAAACTATGAATTCTCCGCCAGGCTATAATGCTGCATGATATACCACCAGCAAACAGGTGATGAACGTTGTCCGGAAAATATGTGAGGCAAACTATCAATGGTGGTAAAAAAAAAAACACACAAGCTGACGGTCACGTTTGAAGTTGCCCAGCCTTTGAATTGGATATCAGTAACAAACAATAAGGCAGATGTTTAAGGTGTCGGTGCAAACCATGTGGATTGCAGCCCTTACCTCGGGAGAGGCCGGGGATGTCGGTGATGGGAAGGTCGGCTAGAATGGAGAGTGCGATCCTGCCTGGTGCCCTCCTGCTCTCATTGAAATGTGATGTTGCCGATTCCCTCTGGCTGGAGAGGAGGAGCTGCGGGAGGCTGACTGCAAACTGGCATTCGCCCATGCACGGATCGGGATCTTATCCCTCCCTTCCCTCAGCGCAAAATCCCACCGGTCAAAAAATATCTTGCTAATCTACCCGAAAGATCAGGGCTGGGTTTACCACGTGAAGCGGGTAGTTGATTTATACAGGAGGAGGAGGAGGTGGTGGTGGGGTGGGGTGGGGGGGGAAGCAGACAGCACGTAAGCATTGTGCCGGCACCGTCCCGGAATAAGACAATGATGCTGAAGATGGGCTTCATGTAAAAAGAGAGTTGCCGTGGTTACACCGGCGCTGCTATTTGATAGAAATATGATGGCGCTGATCTGATACAATGTCCAAGCAGTTTGAAACATCTCCCGCGGAGAATCCGGATAATACTGCCGTAGTTAATATCCGAAGTAAGTCGGCGCTGAGAACATACAGCGTCTTCTAACTCTATCTTTTCATGTATGTATAATTGATATGTAAACACTGTAAACGTATTGGAGGAAGTCCTGTTCGTTGTTGTATTGAAAAAGCTGATATTGCACTCGCTATATATATATCAGTCCGTTTAAATTAAACGCTTATCCAGGGGAGGCTCACGGTAAATTTAAGGTGAAACATAATACAGAGCTACAAAATACCAGGGTATAAAAATCAGACACCAAATAAGACAGGCTATTGGGAGATACTGTAAGCTCTGAAAATGTCACCAATGTCAACAAGAACAATAATATAGATGCGATTTTTATCTGTAATATAAGTTTCAATTACATAGGCCTGATTGATTAAATCGAAAATGGACCCCTATGATTTTATACAGTATCAAGTTTACGTTCGGTTGGAAAATGACTTAAGCTCATTAAGTTATTATTAAATATTATTTTTGTTGATGGATTTTTCTTTTATTTACTGAAGCTCCATTTAAAGCTACGCACCAGTGGTCAATTCCCGTCCCTGTTTTCTGTCCCTAATTGTGATGTTACACAGATAAAATAATGGATACCCTCGCAATTCTGCTCCCGCATCACGGCGTCTCTGACATCGCTGCTCCTTCAGCAAGTCACGAATAACGCCTAACAGACGCTATCGATTTCCTTTTTTTTCCCTCCATTTTCCCTCCGCTGGCTAATAACAAAAAAAAGGGCTGGCAAAGCAAAGATAGTCGATTTGAACAAAACTTAAATTCTGAATTTGCGTTTGACTTGCAGGTGAATTAAAGTTTCGTGCAATTAATTAAACCGCAGAGCTCTATACGGTTAGACAACTTTATTCTTAAAACCCAGCGCCCAAAGGGATTCCTAGTTTAATTGCACCCAATGAGTTATTCCGAACTGGCATTGCATGCTTTTCGTGATGTATTTTTTTCTGCTGTGCCCGGACTCATTCTTTTTACGCCTATCTTTTTATAGGATTTCGATGAGTGAATCAAAATAACTTTAGCAGTGGTTTGATAAAAGCATGACGAGTTAGATGCTTCCAGAAGATTAACTCTGCCAAAGTATTTTCAACAGAATCACACTCTGTCAGCATAAACAGCTTGCTTTCTTCTCTCTATGAAATGGGTATGTTCCACAGGCCGTACTTAAAAAAAACCCCGGATGCACGCATTAGGCTCTGCTGTGAGTCTGTATGGTGGAATGAAAAGCTTGATTACACTCTTATTTGCACGAAGTTCCCTCCACATTTTTCACGTTGTCCTCTATAGCTTCTAGTGGCCCAATCCCATCATGCATCACACCGTCTTTGCCACACATCTATGAAAGGAGAGTGATTACGGAGGATGGAATATTTCAGTTCAGAGGCCCTAAAGTTCTGTTAAAAACATGGCAAACGTATGTGTACCCGGTGACACATGACGTTTTGAATGTGCCATAAAAGAAAAAGCTTGTGTAACATCGCCATGTGTAGCTGAGGAGAGAAACCTGTACTTTTCATTGTGGACCACAGAGGTCAACAGCTCTTCGATCTTTCAGCAGTTTTTTGAACCATAACAGCAGCACTTCACCCTGGTAATAACGCTCCACTTCACTTACATATCCTGATATGCGAGTTCTGCCCGGCGGTAAGTAACAGTTAAAATCCCTCCCCAAAACAGGAACGACATAGGTGGGCCTCTATTCCCTGTCGAGAGTTTCTCCAGTTGACCGAAACAGTTTGACAGACAGGGGTCCACCGCAAAAAAAAAAAAACAAAGAAAAAACAAGGAGAGATTTTTTATTTTTTTTTAAAGGTGTTGTTTTCCTGAGTGCTTTTTCCGAAAGCAGGACAATTCACAGTTATTCTGAGAGCGAGGACACAAGCAAGGGGGCCATATGTGCTGCTGGACGTCCTACTGACACGTTAAAGCCCATTTTAGCATCGTGGCTTAATGTTCTGTCCACTTCACAGTCCTCTATGTACCTGTCTTTGGGGGACAGTGTGTTTTGGGGACCTGCTTACTTTCATCCACGATGCATTTGCTCAAAACTGAAAATGAAACCGCCTCAACCCATGACCAGGTTCCCGGACCAAAAAACCACGCTAAAACTGCTTTTTCCTATTTTTTATTTGTTTTGGTCTTTAAAAGTAATATAGCTACTTGCTCGCACGCAGGTTTTCTTGCATGTCGTTATCAAAGTCTCGATGAGAGTCGAGTGAAAAATCATCTCTGTGTATATTTTCATGTATGTGAACTCCCAGAAAAAAGGGCAAAAATTTGTACCTTTGCTTGTCACTGGGGCTGTACCCTCGAGGGTCTGTCGATTGTACCCTTAGCTGTAGGTGATTGTACCTTTTCAGGTACATAATGGATTCTGAGGAACATTTCTGTACCATTGATGGTACCTTAATGCTGTATGTACCATTTCTGTACCTTAAAAGGTACAATTACACGGGTGCAGCCCGCTGACAAGCAAAGGGACACATTTTTGCCCTTTTTTCTGAATTTGATGAAACGTTTGCAAACATGGTGCACATGAATTGGGGGGGTTTGGTGGTTCCCAACAAAGGCTGTCTGTTATGCGAGCCACCTTTGGTCCACGTCATGCTGTCACAGCTGGAGCCTGCCTCCCATTCAGCTCTTTTGCACGAAACAGCTCTCTGACTGAGTCAGAGTGCCGGGCGCGTGTCCCACACAGAACTGATGACCCGCAGCAGAATTCAGTTGGAACTGTGAACAAAAACAGAGGGGATTCATCGCTACCACCCCTAGGCCCTTCACACCGCCCCCCCCGTTCCAAACCAGACTCCACCTAAATCCATCCTTTTGTTTTCCCCTGGTTGGTCGGCATTTTCAGTTCTGATGAGCCCAGCTTCCAGAAAACCACTCGGCCTGAGAGTGAATGCGGGCATTCTGGAGCGGTAGAAGCGTTCCATAAAAATGCATTAAATTCCGAAATTGTATTATAAGAGGAATTATGGCCCGTTGCACAATAATGGATGAGGATCAAATGCTAAATGTTCAAGTTTTAACTGAAAAATTGAATTTGGATGATATAGATTTTATTGATGTCTACAAGTTATGCACCATTACTTTAATGATATTATAAAAGGGAACTTTTAGAAAACAATGCTAAAAGTAATCGTACAGGCTTACCGGTCAACCACAGGTAAAGGCATCTAAGCTATATGGGTGACTTAGGAAACCAAGACACACCACGGATTATACAAGTCATAAACAGGAAAGAAAAATTAGCTGCGAAATTACCAGGGATGAATGGTTTAAAACTTGCGAACTTCAGTGGTCTTTACCAATTTACAGTCATGGACATAATTCTGTCGGAAGAACATTATTAATTTATTTCTTACTCCAGCACAGAAAGTGTACCAGTCAGAAGAAAAGGCCGAGTGTTGGAGATCATGCAGAAATCAAAAACGCACCCACTGGCAAATATTTCGGGATTTGTCCACGAATCAGACAATTTTGGATAGGGATATTTCACACCTCGAAGGAAAATTTGAAAGGATTTTACCATTTACATTTGGTTTTTTTTTTGTACCTCGATAAAATAGATGCGGATCTGAGCGGATGCGAAAGATATCTGCTAGATATTCTCCTGTCTGCGAGCAAAAAGGCCAAAGAAAGTGGTTCCTCCCTCATTCGCTAACAAAGAATGATTGGATCGGCATAGTAAACAATATACATGTAATGGAAAAATGAACATTCCCCCTTCAGCAACAGATGTCTAAATTTGTTAAATATTGATCTATATGGGTAAAATATGTTAAATCATTGAGGTCTGATTTTGTAAAAATACAAAATTACTGAATGTTCTGGTGTTGATTTAGAAATTGAATGACCTGTCATCCTCTGATACTGTCTGAAGTAACTTAATTTTGATGATGATGATGATTATTACGATTTTCCAGTTTTTTTATATATGACTATCTTCTGTTTATTGTGTAAATAGTTGCGTTTGTTTGTTGTTCTTTTTGCTACTAAGATTTTAGTAAAAAAAAATAAAAAATTCAGAAAAAATAGAAGTTATGTAAATTGTGACTGAAGTATATACTTTTTGTATAAAATGTACTGGAAAAAATGCGTGCATGTTCACTTTCTCCAATAAAATCAAGAATGAAAAAATGCATTAAAAGAGGATCAATGTGGGACATGGGGTTCCCGAATGAGAACTGGGCAGGTGATGGACATGTGACCACTCTGTCAGGAAACCTGCTAACTGGATTAAGCAGTGGTAATCTAAGACAAGTTCTGTATGTTGAACACAGAGGATTAAGGCCAGGACAAAAACTGTGAAAGTACGACCCCAGGGCCCTTACCCTCAATGCGAAGTTGCTTATCGCCAGATATGTGCATAGGTCACAGAAATGTTTATGCACCTATGAATTCACCATTAACCACGTCTATTTTCATTCAGGAAAAGGAAGTCAAGAGATTACAAGGTCCTGCTGTGTCTTTCCACAGGACATCTCTCTGATGAACACTTAAGTGTCAAGGACAATTCTTGTGCATTATCTGCTATCACCAGCATCCACTGTACGTCATGTATACATAGCAACTAGTATCTTTGCATTATGCACCTTTGCACTATGTCCTTCTGCTTACGTTTCTTGTGTACATACTTTAATTGTTTTTAGTCCTGTTTTTTTTGTACGTCTGTTTTGTTGAAGTATACTGAGAGCGACGACAAACCGGAGAAAAATTCCTTGTATTCATAAACACGCTTG